TTAAAGGGGCATCCTCCTTCCTTCAGTTTCTGAGCAATATGTTCTTTTCCTTCCACGCATTGAAGATCTCTACCAATGCAAATGGGTGTACCTTAGATATTGGGGTAGGGTTCCCCATGGCAATAAAGCAAATATTGTAATAAAGTAATTCACACTTTTTTTTGTCTTTTCAGTGCATATAAAAGTTATGTTTACACTATATTGTAGTCTATTAAGTGTGCAATAGTATCATGTCTAAAAAACATACATACCTTAATTAAAAATACTTTATTGCTAAAAGAAAATGCTAACCATTATCTGACAATGGCAGGGTTGTCACAAACTTTCAATTTGTAAACATCTCCGTATCTGTGATGGGCAATAAAACGACGTATGCCTGAAATGTTTGTTGAGTTACTCAAAGTTTGCTTTCTTCATGGAAGTAACCTCCATGAAGGTAGGTAGCATGTTTCCTCATGGCTGTATCCCAGATTTTGTAACAAGTGCTTGCCTGGGATATAGTAGGACTTTTAATCAAGTGTGGTGGAATGAATATGTAACACTCATATACAGTAGAGGCAGAGAAAAATAAGGAATAAAAAGTGCATGTCTGTATTACAATAACATCTTTTTCCTTAAGTGTCTGTAACGTTTTGCAATTAGGAGCAGGTGGATAAGGGGGCAACTCCACAAAATCTAAACCAAGCCTTTCGCGCCTTCCCAAACCCTTGGCAGCTGCGCGGCTGCGCAGACCTCCATTCACCTCCCCGCCCCCGCTTTTTCTAAGGGGGCGGGGCCAGGCGGACTGCGGCCCAGGCGCGCAAGGATGACGTCACTAGGCGCGTGCCGGGTAGCCCGTGGGAACACCTATTCTGAGGAAGTGGAGACCTGTGGGCAGGCGGCTGAGACAGGTAACCCACGCGCTCCCTGTTGTGTCCCTGTCTTCCTCTCCAACAGCACTGGGATGGCGGTGGGCTCAGCAGCGTCCCGTTTTGAAGGCGACCGGGAGCCCGCCGCTGCCCTCATCTGTCTTGGTCATCGGGGTCCCCGTTCCTTCTCAGTCCTTCCAAACTCCTGAGGCTGAACCCGTTCTGGGGACTGGGCTGAGCGGCCACTTTCTCGGCCTCCGCTTTCGGGGTGGTGATGGGCTCTGAAGCTCCTCTGCCCCGTGGTACAGACCTTTCCTCAGACTGCGGTTGCCGCCTCCTTGCTCTCTTGCCTCCAGGCCCACTTCACCCGCTTCTCTTCTCTCCACTCCGAGCTCCGTAGGGCTCATCTCCAGTCATGTTTAAGGAGACAGAACGGTTTCCGACTCTTCATTTCTACTTGCAGTGACATCCAGCCACCTCCTGTCCCTAACCCCCCCACCCCGCGACGACCCTTACTGAGAACACCAAGTTTTGAGTTTTTGTGTCCCTGAAGAGCATTTGTTCTCTGTCAGTCTGGAGTTTTGTTCATTAAAGCATGTATTTGTTGGGTAAGGGGATGGTGCAGTAATGTGAAAATCTGTTGTGATAATAATGACCCACATGGCATCCAATCAGCTGTTGAGGTTGATGAAACAGTTATAGCATTTCATTAAAATACTCCTGTTCCTGTATTTCTTTTTCAAGTAATGATGATAGTTATCCATCAAAGGCAGCCATAATGAAAAAGAATATGAAAAGGAATATATATATATATATATATATATGTATGCATATGTATGACTAAAACATTATGCTGTACACCAGAAATTGATGCAACATTGTAAACTGACTACAATTTAAAAAAAGAAGGTAGCCATTGAAATAAATAAGCAGCAGAACTCCACTAGGAATGTCTAGCCTGCCAAAAAATAATTGGATTCATATTCTTGATAAAGGAATTACAAAACCAACCAAAAAAGATCTGGGAGAAGAAGCAGGATTCTGAAATTTTTGATCTCATTGATGGTTTGGTTTTGTATTTTCTTGTACTTTTAGTACGTTTTATTTTTGAATAGGGCTTGTGGTGCTTAATATAATTCTGAGAAGCCTGTGTGAATGACTTGGTAATTGTTAAGATTAGGTTGTTATATTTGGGGGACAAAGTAGAAAAAGGTTAGGGAATAATAGTAGTCACTCACTATTGACCATTTGCTATATCCCAAGGACTGTGTTCAACATTTTGCATGTTTTCTCCTTACCTCACACAAGGACCTTGTGAGTTAGGAATTAGAATCCTCGGTTTACAGAAAAGGAAACTTTGGCTCAGTTATGTAAAAATTAACTTGCCAAAAATTCTTAGTAACTAAATGGTGGAGACAAGCTTGAAGTTCAGGTCTATGTATGAATTGAAACCTATGCTTTTTTTTGTTTGCAATGTTTAACTAGCTTATGGCCAACACTTAAAAAATATCCTTCCCTGTTGATGTAGTTCTGTACGTGTTCTCCAGGTTTACTTTTTTCTCAAGCATATATCAAAGTCTCAAAGAAACATAAACTGTTTAGCCTTACCTTTAAAACTTCCTAATTAATTTTAACATAGTCCCCAAATTGTCAGGTGTATGTTGAAATTGACAAGATAATTGAGCTCCTGAAGTTCTTCTAAAGATCTTTAGGCTATACCAGATGCATTTTCTTACTTTGCTCCCAAATGCTTTTTAATTTCTAGGAACCTGTTGAAGTATTTTTTCTTGGGAAGGGTGAACTGAATACATACTCAATTCACCACTTAGAGCCTGATGCTGGGAATATATTTTAAACCTTCTTAAGATGGGTTTGAAAGCCATTTAGAGAGAATGGGGCACCCATTTGTAGTATGTAAATTCTAGACCTACATCTTACTGGAGAAGTCTGTGTTATGTATTTATGCCCATGAAGGACCAGAATGTAAATATTGAGATCTATATATGTTTCTCATATTTCTAGGCAATCTTTGAGTTTATACCTGACCTAATTGTGCCTCCAGATGCTGTAGTCCTTGCTGGTTTCATCTGTACAGCTGTAGCCCTGTGATAATCATCAAATAAATCACTAAATGGAGGAAGCCTATCTTGATTTCCAGCTAAAGGAAGTGTAGTTCCCTTAGACAGGAACAGACGAACCTCTTATCCTTCCTACAGCTTTCCTGCTGTAGGAAGTATACTTTCAGAGTAGGAAGTGGGAGCTGTAGGGTCAGAAAGAGGCCAGGAATTGGGGGATGGATAGGAAGGGTTTTTTATCGCTCGAGCTGCCAAGAAAGGACAAGCTTATCACTCAACTACAAGTTTTGAGTGATGGGAACTTTCTCAGGATACTGAGCAGCAAGGGTACCTACCCAATAAGCCCTGCAACAAGTGGTTAGAGCACTTGCCAGATAGACTGTTTTTTTTTTTTTTTTAACCATCGTTGAACCTAGGGGAGGAGACCAGAATTAGATTAAGCCAGTGGTTCTCAAGTCTGGTCTCAGGACCAGCAGCATCAGTATCACTGGGAACTTGTAAATGCAAGTAGTAGTCGGTGGTTTAACAGGATCTTCATGCATGTCGAGTTTGAAAACCACTGGCCCAGGAAATTCACAGAGGTT